CTAATTGTGCCAACATAATACAACGGTGAGTACAAGAAAGTTACCGAGGCCTGAACGCCATGCTCCAACAGCTAACATATTTCAACTATGCTGGATAATTCAATCCAAGTGACCATTCAATTCCTTGCTTAATTTAAGCATTTTGGGATTAAGGATATCTATTGACTGTAAAGGCCTAACTAGATTTTTCAATTTCTCTTTTAATCTCAGACTGAATGGCAGAAGAGAACATCAGGTGGCAACTTAAGAGTCCTAGGAAACATGGACTTTTTCTATCTCATGTGTTGATGTTGTAAGGCAGTTAATATAAACTGCAAATGTGATTTCTTTGTATATTGCAAGGAAAAAAAGCAGTGTATGAGTTACAGGATTAAAATATTTCCTACTTGAGAAATGACTTGGGGATAAAGGAGAAGCTTATAATCTATAGGCATGACAGCACATTAATATATGAATTTTCTCCATCACAAATGAGCAATAGCATGTCACATTCTGGGTGAGCAATACTATGCTAAGGTAAGAAGCACTCAGGAATCATAAACTCAGTAACATATCAAATTAAGGATACAAAATTTGCATAGCAAGATAATTTATTCAAAAGGCAAAAGAAGAAGATAGCTAGCAACCCTGACAATAACCAGGCTGGGCTCCTTAGATAACACTCCAGGACCTTTGTTCCTGGCTGATTTTAATGAGTTTTAAGGATCCCTTGGCCCCTCGGGAACTTGCCATACCTGCACTGGCTCCCACAGTTGTCTCTGCATTACACAATAGCCCTTCACTATGTCATTTGTTTGGGAAGTTTTGGGCAACTATGTTTTGTCTACTTGACCCTGAAAGGGCCTTTTCTCCAATGTAGGCAGTGGGTTGCTTATGAGATGCCGCATTCATAGTCAGTTTTCAGATAGGAAAGTGTCACATGAGTGTCTACCGTACCAATACAGTGCCACTAGAGTGATCATATAGTGACCCTAGAGAGAATACACATGTATATGAATCTATGTATGTTAGGGCATCGGTGTGAATGCATATTGTGTACAATCTCCATAGAGTTGGTTATCCCTGGCTCTCCTTTCCCTGAATTCTATAAGTGCTAAGTGTTTATGCTCTTGACTTTCTTTATTCTCTGCTTGTCAGCTCTTTCTCTGGTTTTGATTCAAGTGCAAATGCTGTTTCATGCCTTTCTGTCTTCTCTACTCTTGTCCATTAGACTCTTTCCAGTGGAAGTTTTCAATTAAATTCTTAACTTCTAGATAGGATTCGCCCAAAAACCTAAAGAGCCCCCTATTTTATTATTTCCCTACTTCCCTTTCCCCAGTCTGATGGGTCACAGTCAAGAGATTCACAATAAAAATCCTGACAGGAACATGTCAAGCTTTTTCAAATGCCAATGACCAATAGCAGGTGTAGGGCTTCCCCCTTGAATCAGGATTGTGTAGGTAACATCATAAATGTCCCTGTGGATTGTGAGTTTTGGCTTTCACAATGCGGTGTGCATTTAGTGAGAATGGTGTTTCCCTCATTCTTATTTTCAGTGAAAAATGTAAACATCACAGAAATTACATTGGATTCTAGTGTGCCAGCTTTTTCTTTTTA